GAGCCGGGTTGCGTGCGACCAGCCCCTCCCCCAAAAAAATTTTTTTTTTCCGGAACGATCAAGTTCGACTTGCGCGTCCGCGCGCGATCGACTTTTCAAAACAACAAAAATCCAATGTGAGCTGCACGGAACTAGATCCGACAATAGCCTGAACTGGGTCGCTATGTGTTCTACCGACCGAAAAGAACCAGCTGGCGAACGGTCCCTTGCCAAGGGCGTGCAGCGCGGATCCAGCGTCCCCAGCGAAACCGAAACAACACTCACCGCACCCCTGTAGGTCGAAGCGTATACACCTGCCGCAGGGCTCAACAGACCTTTACCCAACGCGCGCAGGATGGCAGCCTCTCTGGTGGCACCAGAACCCGTCTAGGGGGGGCACGAAATAGTAAGTGCTTGACGGCCGACGGCGCCGGTCCTCGACGGCGCCCCGCGCTCGCGGCTGCCGACGACGCCTTGTGAGATCTTGTTAGATGGGGCGGACGCCCGCGAAGTAGCCGTTGAGCTGCGGGAGCGCGGCGGGGTCGTCGGTCGCGGCGCCGCCCTTGCCCTTGCCGCCGGCGTCGTCGTCGCCGTCGCCGTGGTCCACGGGCCGCGCCGTGCCGAAGATCTGCGTCGCGTCGTTGGACCCGAAGATCTCCGTGATGCAGCCGTCCGGGCTCCGGAGGAAGTGGCGGTAGACCTTCTGCGCGCCGTCGAGCGCGTGCTCGTAGATGGTCACGTGCGTCGACGTGTCCTTGAAGTGGGGCAGGAGCGGGTCCTTCAGATCGTAGGTCGCGATGGCGACGTGGCGCCGCTGGTCCGCGGGGCCGATCCACTTCTTGGCCTTGGCGATGACGTGGTTGAGCTCCTCGACGCTCAGCTCGAAGTCGTGGGGCACGAAGAACGTCTCGCTGTCGCCGTTGATGCGCGAGTACGTGTCGATGACGCGGCCGTTCATGTGGACGAAGACGAGGTAGTAGTAGCAGACCGCGAGGCTCAGGGACACGTGGATCGCGTAGATGATGACGACGTAGAAGATGCCGATGATGCCGCCGTTCTCCTCGTCGACCATGCGGCGCCAGAGCTTGAACGCGTCGCCCTCGAAGCAGTCGCAGGAATTTTTGGTATAATCCTTGCGGCAGCCCGGCCGCGTGTCGCAGGCGTAGTTCGACGCCAGGATGTCGACGGCGAGCACGAGCAGCGGGTCGAGGAGCGTCCCCAGACCGAACGCCGCGACGTACTGGGACACGGGGTCCGGCAGCGCGGACCCCGTGCTCTGGTAGAGGCGGCAGACGCCCACCAACCCCAGAAACGCGAGCAGCACGGAGATGCCGCCCATGCCGACGACGCCGACCTCCTCCATGGTCTTCAGGCCGTCGGGCATGTACTTGAACTCGAAGCCCCAGAGCTGCGCCCGGAAGCCGTAGATCGCCACCTTCTGCGCCGACAGCAACAGCCACTGGCCCGTGTAGTGGACGTAGACGCGCATCCAGAGCGCCATGGCGCAGAGCACCATGACGAGCCACGAGTCCGCGTTGCCCGTGAGGAAGATGCGGCTGCAGCGCGCCCACTGCCACCGCAAATTGTGCGTCGCCGCGTAGTCCGCGGCGCGGACGTCGGAGCTCAGGTCCATGAAGAGCTCCTGCCAGACGAACTTGAACTTGGTGATGACGATCGCCGTCGCCGTCGGCGGCCGCCGCCGGCCGGGCTCCTCGGCGACGCTGAAGTAGAAGTGGTCCCGCGCGCCGGCGACCCGTAAATCCGTCCACCAGGCCTCGTCGTCGTCGTCGACGTCCTGGGCCGCCCGGTCCGTGCCGTGGAGGCCCAGGCCCGCGGGGTCGTAGCGCGCGCCGTCGCCGAACTTGCCCCGGAAGTGGGGCTCGTCCTCCTCGGAGCTCAGCGCCTGGACGGCCTCGGTGCCCGTGACCTTGGACCGGTCCCGGTCCTCGAAGAAGAGCTCGTCGCCGCTCGACTCGGACTGCTGGCCCGTGTGCATGTCCTCGAGCTCGAGGTCCTTCCGCGACTCCGGCAGCGTGAGCTGGCCCGGCGCGAGGAGGGGCGTTTTCGCGTCGCCCTTGTCGACGCTCCGCTTCCGCTGCGTCGACCCGCGCCGGTCGAAGATGGTCTGGCGCCGCGCCCACCAGGGCTTGGCCCGGCGCTTCGGCCTCCGGGCCGCGGCGGGCTCGTCGCCGGAGTCGCCGGGCGCGACCTTGGCCGCGTCGCGCTTCTTCTGCCAGGGCCAGCGCGTGTCGCCGTCCTTGCCTTCGCGCGCGCTCTCGCTCGTGGAGCCGTGGCCCTTGCGCAGGCCGCCGCGCGCGCCGCGCGCCGTGTCGCCGAGCTGCAGCAGCTTGTTGATGAAGTCGTACTCGACGTGGTACTCGTCCTTGAGGTTCCCTCCGGGTCGATGGTCTCGCGCGGCAGGTAGCGGATCTCGACGTACATGTTCCCGAGCCAGGCGCTCAGGTCGTTGACGTAGGCGTCCTGGATCATGGAGAAGCGGTCGAAGTGGGGCTTCACCTCGCCCCGGAGCACGGGCACCTTGAACTTGCCCTTGATCACCGCGAAGTGGGGGTCGCAGAGCGGCAGCGCGGACCACCCGACGACGGCGTCGCGCGGGTTCCGCTTGTCCGCCAGCCGGAACAGCTCGAAGACGAGGCAGTTCGCGGGCCGGAGCTCGCCCATGGACGGGCAGAGCGCGAAGATCGACTGGTTCACCTTGAGGTCCACGTCGTGGTAGCGGCCCTTGTGCCGGAAGGGCCGCGTCGCCGCGGGCTTGGGCCCGAAGCCGCCGCCGCCGTAGGAGTGGGTCTTCGTCCAGCGCAGGGGCCGGCCCGCGAGGCGGTCCTGCATGGACACCATGATGACGTACGTCCCTTTCGGCAGCTTGTCCTTGACCGCGCGCAGCCCGTGGACGCGGATCTCGATGGGCCGCGGGATGAGGTCCCAGTTGACCGCGTAGCGCCGCCCGCCGACCTTGCCGCCGGGCTCGACGTAGCCGTAGCGCTCGCGGATCGTGCCCCGCTGCTTCTCGACGACCGCGTTGAGCGCCTCGCCCGCGCGGCTGAAGGACCGCTGCAGCTCCTTCTCGCGCGACTCGCCCGCGGCCGCCGCGGCCGCGCGCTCGCGCGCCGCGGCGCCCAGCGCCTCGCCGCGGAGCGCCTCGACGCGCGCGCGCGCGTTCTGCTCGCGCCACGCGAGGTCGAGCTCGCGCGACGCGTAGTCCGCCGCGGCCTTCTCTGCCGCCGCCGCGCGCGCCGCGGCGACGGCGTCGGCGCGGTCCGCGATGTCGCGGTCGCTCAGCGTCATCGCCGTGATCTCCTCGTCGGGCCGCTCCGCGTGGAACTGGCCGACGACGTCCTCGATCTCGTCCTTCTCGACCCTGTCGCGGAGGTCCAGCACGATCCGCGACAGGTCCACGGGGTCGCCCAGACCCGGCACGTCCAGCCCGTCCAGCAGGTCGTCGGGGGGCATGAGCGACAGCCAGTCCGCCGCGGCCGCCGCGTCGAGCGCCGGCGCCGCCGCGGGCGCGGCCGCCGCGTCCGCGGCGGCGAGGTCGTCGAACGCCGCGGACAGGAGGCGCTCGGACGCGTCGGGCGCGGGCGCCGGCGGCCGCGCGAAGAGGGCTCCGGGGACCGGCGCCTCGGGCACGCGGGCCTCGGGCACCGGGCGCGGCGACCGCGCGTAGAGGTTCCGGCCCGGCGTCGTCGGCGCGGCCGCCGGGGCGGCCTCGTAGTCGTGGAGGCGGCTCGACGAGTGCTGCGGGCTGCTGTAGGTCGCGAGGAAGCGCTCGCTCCGGTCCTGGGCCTCGATGGCGCCGCGCTCGAGCTTGAGCTTCTCGAAGCGCCGCTTCGCGTCGCGCATCCTGTCCATCTTGCTCGAGAGCATGGACACGACGCGGAGCCGCCCGTGCAGCTCGCCGCCGGCGCGGATCTTCGCCCACGACTTTTGGCGCTGGCGCGCCGGGCCCTCGTAGGTCGGCGGCGCGGCGAAGGTGTCCTGGCCTTCGTCGCCATCCTCGGAGCCGGAGCTCTTGTCCACGTCTTGCTCGACGACGGGCAGCTTTTCCGCTTCTTCCGCCGGCGTGTGCGTTTCGGCGGGCGGCTCCGACGCCTCCTCGGCGGCTGGCGCCTTCGGCTTCTTCCTCACGGCGACGGGCATCGCTGCGGTTTCGCTCTACGCGCTGCCCATTTCCCCGCAATGATCAGCGGTTGAGCAATGGAATCAAAGGGAAATAAGCCAATGGTGATCTCGTCGGCCCGCTCAGTTGCCGGAGTCGAGGGGTCGGACGCGGAAAAAGTGTACCCCCGGCCGCCTCCTTCCCCGCGAAGTCCGACTTACTCCCCCGTGTACCCCCTACGTTGCCCCCTTGGGCTTGAAGAAGCACTGGCCGCCGCGCGCGGCGGCCATGGTCGCTCGTGCTTGGGGGGAGAGGGCGAGTCCCGAGCGCGAAAGCACGCGGTCGAAGAAGGCCTCGCCCGTGGGCGCGGCCTGGAGCGCGTCGTTCTGCACGAAGTTGCGGGCGAGGGTCGCCGCTTCGCCGAGCTCCGAGGCGGCGAGGACGCCGCGGCGCTCGGAGAGACGCGCCTCGGCGATCGCGTGCTCGCGCGGCAGCACCCGACTCAGCTCCAGCTCGTTGGGCTTCGCCTCCGCCGGCTCCTTCTTCGCGGCCTCGCGCGCGGCCAGCTCCAGCTCGTTGAGCTTCGCCTCCGCCGGCTCCTTCTTCGCGGCCTCGCGCGCGGCCTCGCGCGCGGCCTCGCGCGCGGCGACGCGCTCCTCCTTCTCGGCCGCCCTCGCGTACAAGCCGCGGCGCGCCGCGAGCTGGAGCGAGCCCGGGTAGTTCTCGCAGTCCGCGCACTTGCACTTGGCGCCGCACGTGATGCCCGCCTCGAAGCACTCGCAGTACTTCTTGAGGCACTTGGTCTTCTTGCAGTGGCAGCCGTTCTGGTGCGTCGTCGCCTCGGCGTCGACCTTGGCGCGGAACGCCTTGGGGTTCTTCTCGAGCGTCGCCTTGATCGCGTCGTCGCGGTCGCGCGCGTGCGCCTGGTCGTTGTGGCAGTCGACGCACTTGCACGACTCCTCGCAGAAGCGGCCCGCGGCGAAGCAGTCGCAGTAGAGCTTGAGGCACCGCGAGTTGCGGCAGTTGCATGGCTTGAAGCGCTTCGTCGCCGACGCCTTGGCCGCCGTCGGCCGGTCGCCGCCGTCGTCGTCGTCGACCTCCGCCGTCGGCGTCGCCGCGCCGCCGCCGCGGCCGCCGCGCGCGGGCGGCGCGGCCGCGCCGCGCAGGCCCTGGGACGTCTTGCTCGTGCGGCTCCGCTTCGCCGGCGGCTCGGGCGTCGTCGTCGCCGACGCCTGGAGCACGCGCTCCTCCTTCTCGGCCGCCCTCGCGTACAAGCCCGACAGCCAGCCCGGCGCCGCCGGCTTCGTCTCCTTTTCGCCGGCGCTCCGCGGCGGCAGCAGCGCGACGGGCGTCGCCGGCACGAGCTCGTGGACGCGCGCGATCGCGCGCTCCTTGTAGGTCCCCGCGCGCGGCGGCGCGTCGGGCGCCGACGCGACCCGCTTCCGCTTCCTCGCCGCGGACTTCGCGGCGGCCTCGCCGCCCTCGCGCGCGAGGACGGCCCCGAAGTCCGGGCGGCCGAGGGCCAGGGCCGCGGCGGCGGGCGTCGCGGCGCTCGCGGCGGCGTCGCGGGACGCCGGCGAGATGACGGTCACCGTCGCGTCGGGGAACGTCGCGTCCCAGGAGTCGCCGTTGTCGAAGCGGATTCGCGCGCGCGCGCGGCCGAGGATGTCGTCGACCACGCCCTCGTAGACGACGTCGTCGTCCCAGAGGACCGCGACGCGGGTCCCCGGCGGCGGGCCGAGCTCTTCGGCGAGCACCGCGCGGAGCACACCGCAAAGCCGCCCGTGGGCTTCCCGGTCGACGTGCGCGCGGGGGCCGGGCGAGCCACGCCGGTCCGTCTCCCAGTGCGTAGCCGCGCGCAGCGTCGCGTCCCGCTCCGTCTTCGCCACCTTCGAGAAGTCGACGCCGTGCCAGTAGCTCATGGTCGCCGACACGACGCCGTAGCCCGGGCGTCCTGGGCCGGGGCGATGTTTGAAACCATAAGGACTCGCCGCGTCGCGGTACGCCTCGAGGGCCGTCTCCTGCGCGATGATCGCCGCGATCCGGAGCTCGCTCATTGCCAAAAGGTCGACCCCCACGCGAGGCGTCCAGCAGATGTTCAGCGATTTTTCGCCGCAAAAGGATGAAAGCCCCGGTGAGCTCTCCTACTCACAGCGGCGCGACGCTGCCTGCGCGCATGAGTGCGCATGCGCTCGTCAGCACATGCCGACGGCGCGCGCACCTGCAGCGCTCACCGGCGCGCGCCTTCACGCTCGCGTCGCGGCGCGGAACCGGTCGTCGTGGGCTGCGACGGCACGCTCTGGCAGAGTGCTGCGTAGCGCCAGCCCTTCGCCACGAAGTCAGGCCTCGTTGCGTGCTGACCGCCGCCGGCGACGGAGGCGACGAGGTTCATCGGCAGCGATTCCGCTGCGACGTGACGTTCGCGGCGGTCGCGCGGCCGCTCTCAGCGGCGGTGCGCGAGCCGCTGGGCGCCGCCTCCGTCGGGCCCTCGGCCTCCTGCGCCTACGGCTACGTCGGCGAGTTGGAGACCGTCGAGCTGCGGACGACGGACGTGGTCGGCGTCGACAGGTTCTCCCGCGGGAACGAGCCGCTCGACGAGGACGCCGTCGCGCTCTCCGGGTACCCCCTCGAGTTCTCCAGCACGTTCTCGCGCGCGCTACGGACGACGAGGACGACAGCGTCGGCGGCACGGCCCAGGGCATCGTGGCCACGAGCGGCGGCGACGACGACGACGCGGGCGACGTCGTGCCCATGGGCGACGCCGTGCCCGAGGGCAGCTGACGGACGACTGACCTCGGCGCACGGGCTGACGGGCACGAGTTGACGGGCGCCCTCGACTGGACCGACGACGCGCGCGCGCGTCGATTTTTGGCGACTGAACCCGATCCCTGGGAGCGGCTCTCGACGCCCGCACGCGTGTTTGGACACGCAGGGTTACTGCTTTGACTTGTATGGGCCCCTGGCGCCAGATGCGCCGCGGGGCGCGCTCGGTTTTCTAAATGAGGGATGGTCCCCCCCCTGATCTGGTCATGGCCCGCTGGGCCGCTGCGAGCGCGCGCGCGCTGCATGTTAAGCTGCATGTTGCGTATGCTGAAGTCGACCTTGCCCGTCGCCAAAGCTGGCCAGCGCCGTGGGCATGTTGCCAATGAAACGCCCTCTCGAGCCCGTTTCGGAAGACGACGACAGCGACATCGAGGTCGAGGTGCAGCGCGGCGGCTGCGACAGCGAAGTGCTCAAGCACGCGTCGTGGCCCGGCGCTGAGAAGCGCGCCCCGGAAGGCGCCGTCGTCGAGCAGCTCGAGCCCGTCGAGGGCCACCAGCTCGCGCTCTCCGAGTGCCACCGCGCGTGCGCGGTGGCACAGCTGCCCATGATCGCGGGCAAGATAGGAAAAACGCTCGTGGCGGGCGTCGGCAAGGCGAGCATCAGCCGGGTGCTGGGCGTCGGGCTCTACGCGGCGCTCGGGCCGCGGCGCGGCGCGAAGCAGCAGCGCGGCCCGCCGATCGTCAGCGAGGACGAGGACCAGTTCCCCCTCGTACCCGACGACCTCGTCGTCTTCGCGGCGACGATGCGCGTCGGGATGGCCATCACGTTCAACGCGCCCGGCGACAAGGCGCGGTGTCCGAGCTGCGTCATGGGCAAGGACCGCGAGTGGGTCTGCGTCGGGCACTACCACGCGGCCAAGGCCAAGGTCCTCAAGAGCATCGCCAACGCCGAGGACTTCGACACCATCATGCGGCGGTTCCCCGTCAAGCGGGACCGCATCGCGCTTCTCAAGCGGGCGGCCGAGGCCATCTTCGCGGCCTCGCCGCAGCGCACGTGCGCCGCCGTGATCTCCAGCGGCGTCGCATTTCGCGCGCCCATCCTGCTCGCCGGCACGGGCTGCGTGCTCGAGGCCGTCGACGACTCGACGCGCGCGCCCGTCTCCGCGGACGCGACGCCCGACGCGGCGGCGAGCTCCGCGCGCGAGTCCGTCGCCGACGGGCCGCCGCCGCCCGCCGCCGAGCCCTACACCCAGGGCATCGAGCCGCACGCGTGGCTCCTCTACGGCCTCCCCGCGCTCCCGCACCCGCCGCCCGGGTTCCGGTGGGCGCCCCCCCCGGGCGGCGGCTTCTCCGCGCCCGCGTGGCTGACGTCGCCGCCGCCGGGCCCGGGCGGCGGCTTCATCCCCTACGACGCGGCGGCGCTGGGCCTCGCGACGACGGCGACGACGGCGACGGCGACGACGACCGCGGCGACGAGCGACGCCCCGCCGCCGCCGCCGCCGCCGCCGGTCGAGGTCGCGGTCCTCTACGTCCCGCCTCGCGGCCCCGTGCCGGGGCCGTACTGGTCGCCCTGGTTCGACGACGGCTGCGAGGACGGGCTCCAGTCCGTCGGCGGCGGCGCGGGCTGCTGCTGCGTCGCGCGGACGTCGCACTGCGCCTCGCGGTTTACGGCCAACGGCATCTGGGCCGACTGGCGCGGGATCTACTTCGCGCCGGGCGGCCTGATCGCGCGCTACTTCCGCCAGGCGCGCGTCTACGAGCTCGGCGCGGTCGCCGGCCGCACGACGGTCGAGATCTTCGCGCGTTTGACCTACGCGCGGATCCGCGACCTCGAGGGCGACTGCGACCAGCTCCTCGACCCGACGCTCGCGACGGTCCCCGTCGTCAAGTCCATCAAGGAGCTCGACGACGGCGAGGTCATCATCCACTTCTTCTCCTCCTCCGTCGGCGCCGCGGACCGCGCGCTCTTCGGCGAGAAGATCCACCTCAGCCACGCCCTCAAGGCCGCGACCTTCGCCCGCAAGCGCTACGACCCCCACTACACCGGCGTCACCATCCTCTACATCCGCAGCGACGACGCCAGCGGCGCGCGCAAGGCCGAGCGGCTCCTCCGCGACTGCGTCGACCCGCGGCCGCTCTACGGCGACGTCCCCCGGACGGGCCACGCGCTCGCGGACGCCGTCGCGGCGGGCGAGGAAACGCCGCGCGAGACGGCCAGCATCGCGCTGCGCGACGCCATCCGCAAGGCCGCGCCCTACGGCTCCGTCCTCCGCGACGCCCTCTTGCGCTGCAAGATGCTCGAGGACGAGGTCCTCGTCGACCAGCCCCGGTCGCTCTGCGACGACGGCGGGCTGCTCACGCAGGAGGGCGCGGACGAGTAAATTTCCGAAACCGAAGCGTATACGCGCGTAGGAGGACATGTAGGAGGCGGGCCGGCGCCTGGCCGGTCTTTCCCTCACCTTGATGCGACCCCGCGAGTTTTTGAAAAAGTCTCGGAGAGCGCGCTCTCCCTGACGCCTCGCCGCCCGCAGCGACGTCCCTCACCAGTTCCGCGAGCAGTTTGTACAGCGCGCCTCCCCGGCAACAGCAGCGCCAGCGGCCGTTCCGCTCCGCCGCCGCGCGTTCCCGCGCCCAGCGCGCGAAGACTCGAGGGGCCCCGAGACTCCGAAGCACCAGAAGGCCGCAGCCATGGCGGGCGGCAAGGTCAAGTTCGAGGAGCCCGAGCCCGAGGAGGGCGGCACGTCGACGCCGCCGGACCAGCTGGGCCAGATCCCCGGCGACGGCATCGTGCTCCGCGCGTCGCCGCGGCGCGGCGTCGGCCGGTCGCCGCGGCGGCCGCTCGAGGCCATCGACGAGGAGGGCTCCGGCGTTTCGCGGCTCGGCGACGGGTCGGGCCGCGCGGCGACGCAGGGGTCCTGCATCTCGCCGCCGCCGCGGCGCCGCGGCGGGCCGAGCTTCAACTCGCCCTTCGCCGGCCTCGCGGCGGCCGTGAGCTTCTCCGGCGGTCCGATGACGCCCGGCGGCCTCGACTGGGGCCAGTTCGGCCGGGGCACGCCGACGCGCGGCGCCCGGGGCGCCGCGGCCGCGACGGCGGCGACGCGGGGCCACCGGTCGCCGCCCGGCCAGCAGCCGATGCCGCGCGTGTCGCACCTGCCCGAGGTCATGACGCCGACGGCGCTCGACGGCGGCGCCGCGCTGTCGCCCCAGCGGCTCCTCGACTTCTGCCTGAGCCCGCTCAACGCGCGGTCGCCCGAGGCCCGCGGCATCTCCCACGGCGCCGAGGGCGAGATGGCGGACCTCCTGCCCGGCGGCCTTGGCGACGGCGGCGACGTCGCCGCGGCCGCGCGGACGATGCGCGAGATCGGCTCGCCGCGCCGCGACGGGTCCGCGAGCCCGGGCTCCGACGCCGGCGGCGCGCGCTACGAGGCGCGCGGCTACCGCAAGCCGCCGCGGCGGCCGACCGCCGCGGAGCGGCGGCGCCAGTCGCTCGACCGCGCGCGCGACGCGGCGCTCGCGCCGCCGACGCCGTCGGCCATGGCGCCGCCGCCCGCGTCGACGCCCCTCTGCGGCCCGCCGCCGCCGCCGGGCTCCGCGGACTCGCGCGGCCGCGCGGCCGGCGCGACGCTCGTCAGCGCGTCGGCGCGGAAGCGCAAGGGCCGCGACGGCTCCGGCGGCGGCTTCAAGCCCTGCAACTGCAAGAAGTCCAAGTGCCTCAAGCTCTACTGCGAGTGCTACGCCGCGGGCGTCTTCTGCCGCGACTGCAACTGCTCGAACTGCCTCAACAAGCCCGAGGACGGCGAGGCGCACCCGCCGTACCCGGCGACGCACGCGCTCGGCCGGCTCCGCCACGGCGACGTCGCCGTGCCCACGGCCGTGCTCACGTCGGCCCAGAAGCGCAAGCCCCAGTCGAAGCAGCGCCAGGAGTCGGGCTGCTTCTGCAAGAAGTCCAAGTGCCTCAAGAAGTACTGCGAGTGCTTCGAGGCCGGCGTCCACTGCGAGGCCTCGTGCAAGTGCGAGAACTGCGAGAACTACGACGGCTCCGCGGGCCTCGCGGCGGCGCGCGCCAAGCTCGGCGCGCGCGGCTCCAAGAGCCGCCGCGTGTCCACGGGCTCCGACGCGGGCCCCGCCGCGCCCGCGGCCCAGGTGAGCCTGCCCTTCGCGTCGCCCGGCGCCGCCGCGCCGTCGCCCGAGCGGCCCGCCGACGACGCGCGGCCCGCGCGGCCCGCGGACGCCGCGGCCGCGGCCGTCGCCGCGGCGCGCGCGATCGTCGCGGCGCGCCGCGCGGACCAGGCGACGGCCGGCCAGGCCGCCGCCGCCGCGACGATCCTCGTCCAGGCCGCCGCGCCGCCGCGCTTCGCCGCGCCCCTGGCCCTCGCCGTCGCGGCCGCGGCCGCGCCGGCCGCGCCCGGCGCCGGCGGCGCCGACGCCGTCGCGAGCGCCGCGCGGTCCGAGGCCCTGCGCGCGGGCGTCGCGGCCGTCGACGCGGAGCACGCCGCGGGCTGGGCCCGCTACGCCGCGGGCCACGCCGTCGCGCTCCGCGCGGCCAAGCACGCGGGCGCCTTCGTCGACGCCGCGCTCGCCGCGGCCGCGACGTCCGCGTGCTTCAACACCGCCGCGACCGCCGGCTTCGCGCCGCCGCCGGACCTCGCGGCCTTCGCGGCGCACCGCGACGCCGCCCTCGCCGCCGCGCGCGCGACGGACGCGGCCGTCGCGGACCTCGCCGCCGCGCGCCGCGCCGCGGCCGCGGCCGCGCACGCGCGCTTCGTCGAAGCCGCGGACGCGCGCGACGGCGCGGTCCTCGCGGACGCGCTCCCCGTGAAGCTGCCGAACGCGCTCCAGGCCCTCGAGTGCCTCCCGAGCGAGGACCTCTACGGCGCCTGCCTCGTCTCCAAGCGCTGGTCCCGGCTCGCGCTCGACGGCGCCCTCTGGGGCTTCTTCTGAGCCGCGCCCGCGCCGGCCGCCCCCTCTCCCCCGACGCCGTCCCCGCCGCTTGTAACAACCGGGTGCCGCACCTCAACGGTGGGGCTCCCTCAGCTCTCGGACGATTGGGTCGTCGTGGCCTTCCGACGAACGACCTGATCACGCCGGCGCGGTCCGGGTTCACACGCGGCCTCCTTTAGGTGCGACGGCGCCTACCGCCGCGCCGGTCGGACCTAGCACTCCTTGAGCTCGCAGAAGATCATGGGGTCCTTGCGCGCGAGCTGCTGGACGTAGTGCTCGCCGAGCTCCTGGGACGTCGTGCAGATGTTCGCCTTGCCGCCGTTCTGCGCCTCCTTGAAGATCTCCTCGGCCTGCTTGATCTCGACGTCCTCGCAGATCTCGAGGAGCGACTTGCAGATGTGCTCCTGCGTGTACTCCTCGTCGCCGAGGAGCATGACGTTGAACATCTTCGGGTCCTCGAGGTCGTCGACGTTCCGCCGCTCGAACTCCTTCTCCTAAACGTTTTTCCCCCGTTGGTCCGCGCGTTGCTCATCCCCGAGCGCGCGCGCGCGCGGCCGGACGATCGCTGCGGGACGCTGCGCCGCGCCTGCTCCGCGCCGCCGTCGCCGGGGCCGCCGCTCATCGCCTCGGCCTTCTTCAGCGACACCTTCTGCTTCAACTCGACCTTGCCCGGCGCGACCATCGTCACCGCTCGTCGCGGGACGACGGACGGGCGCAGCGCGACCGTGACCGCGAGTAGAGCGAGCTGGAGAACGCTTGAGAACTTGCCCATGCCGCAATCGCTGTTCTTCAACCGAATGGATGTTGAGGTGCTCCGTGCCGTCCCGGACGAACCCGGACGACTTCTGTGCCGCGCCGCACGCGCCGCCGACCGGCGCGAAGACGAAGCGCGAGGCTCCTCCCGGCATGCTTCGGATGTTCTGCAAAAGAACGCACTCCTGCGAGACGAAGCGCGCTGCGACGCGTGGCGCTCGCGAACGCAACGATGACGACATCGAAGGTGGCGAAGAACCGGTCATTAGACAGGGGGCGGTGGGGCGGCTCCTCTAGAGATTGTGTCGCGGTCGCGCGCGGGCTCTGCGCAAAACCGGCGGCCGGCGCCGCCGGCGGGCACCGCCGCGCGGCCGCTGGGGAAGTCGTGGTCGATGAAGGGCGGTCGCCGGGGCGGCCTACCAGCCCGAGGGCAGCGCCGGCACGGAGCCGTCGATGTAGGACGCCGAGATGAACGACGCGACGCCGATCATGGCGAGGCGGCCGTTGTTGAGCTCCATCTGGCGCTTCGTCGCCTTGGTGGACTCGTCCATGGCCGACATGGAGCCGATGGGGTCCCAGAGGCGGAGGCCGAAGGGGCCCGGGATGGAGCCGAGGCGGCCGCCGGACATGTAGTGCGGCTTCTGGAACTCGCTCGCCGTCTCGATGGCGCCGATGGCGAGGAGCATCTGGAGCTTGCCCGCATCGGGCACGTTCGCCCACGCGGTGACGCCCTTGCCGAGCGACGCGAAGGGCACGCCCGTGGCGATGTCGCCGGGGAAGACGACGCCCGCCTCGTTGATGATCCAGCCGACGGTCGCCGCCATGGCCACGCGCGAGTGCTTGAGCTCCGCGGCGCGGAACCACGCGAGCGTCGCCGGCGTGCCGAGCTCCGCGAGGCCCATCGGGTCCCAGCCCTGGGGGATCGGGTTCGACGCGCCCTCGAGGCCCTGCGGGGGAGCGGCGGTGAGCGACTAGCGCGCGCAAACGCGCGAGTACGCGCGAGAAATTGGAGCCAGCGCGGCATAATTTCCAGTCCACGGCGCGCGCGCGTCGAATTTGGACGCCGGATCCTTGCATCGATGTTCGCCTGGCAGGCGACGGTCGCCGGCGCCACGCAGGGCGCAACAAAGGCCGAAGCCGCGGAGGCACAGAGCGCGAGGATGACCGACTTCATAACTTGATCGTCTGGATCGTCTCGATGATCCAGCCCTCGTGCGCGAAGCGAGGGCGAGCCGCCATAGTTACACCGGGGGTCGCCACCGTGACCTCGACGCCTCCCTTTCACTCCCTTACCAGCGGCCGCCAGCTCCCCTCGTACGGCCGGAGCGCCGCCCGCAAGCCCGCGCCATCGTCGCCCGACGCGGGCGGGTGCGCCAGCCAGAACGCGCGCGCCTGCAGCACGAGATCCAGCGCGTCGGTCATGAGCTCCCGGTTCTGCACGCCCAAAAACGGCGGCACGTCGCGGATGCCCGGCGCCTTGGAGAACTCGATGAGGTAGGGCGACCCGTCCTCGCCCAGGATGAAATCGATGCCCAGCAGGGAGAACTGGCCCGGCGCCCAGCGCTCCGCGAGACCGGCGACGCCGTGCTTCGTCCGCGTCCGCGGGCAGCCCTCGCCCTTCACGCCCGCCTCGACGGCGTCGAGGATCGCGGCCATGAAGCGGCCGTGGATCTCCCCGGGCCCCACGTCCGTCTTCGCCGCGAGGGTCTCGTCGAGCGCGGGCCAGGGGATCCGCAGCTCCTTGTCGCCGACCTTGTACGTCGCGTACTCGAAGCCCGGCAGCTCCTTCTGGAACGAGTTGTTCGTCACGTGGGCGTACTTCTCGAGCTCCTCGTCGTCGGCGCCGACGCCCGGGTACGCGCCCGCGGACGCGCGGAGGTAGCCCTCGTGGTAGTACGCGCACAACCCCGTCGCCGCGGTCGGCAGCGAGACGAGGAGCAGGTAGCAGCGCACGTCGAACTTGCGCTCGTCTTTGAGCAGCAAGGGCCGCGCGACGTAGGACTGGACCGTGAGGTCCGTGCCGTCCGCGTAGTGGCGTCTGAGCGCGTCGTGGAACGGCGCCTCGAAGGCGCCGCGCTCGTCGGCCCGGAGCTTGAGCACCTTGATGCCGCGGCCGCAGGCGCCCCGCGACGGCTTCACGATGACCACGCACCTGGACGCGTCGTCCGGGAGCGCCGCCGCGGCGAGCACGCGCCCGAGGTCGCCGCCGACGACGGCGTAGCGGAGCTGGTCGAAGCGGCGGAAGCAGACGCACGTCTCCGGGTGCTTCGGATGGTCCACGTGTCGCCAGAGCGCGAGGCCGAGCCGCGCCTTGCACGTGAGCGCGTCCTCGCCTGCGCGCGCGACGGTTTTGCACCCGGTAAAAATATGCAAAAAAAACGACGATGTTGAAACGCCCGCGAAAAAAAAAACGCCGGTCCCCCGCCGGCGAAGTGGTTCACGAGCTGGAACGTGGGCGGCGGCGCCGGCGCCGGCCCGCGCGCGAAGCTCGCGAAGCTCGCGGCCGGCCGCAGCGGCGCGGGCGCGAGCGCGGCGTCCGCGTCGCCGTCCCGGAGGCCCCGGACCTTGCGCGCGGTGCGGACGTAGCAAAAGTCGATGGCCGCGACCTCCGCCGCGGAGATGGCGTCGCCGTCCTTCATGCGGCCCCGCGGGTCCGCCGCGGGCCGCCAGCCGCGCTTCAGGAGGTGGGCGACGACGAACTTGGCCACCCAGGAGCCGTTGTCGAGCCAGAACGTCGGCGCGTCGGCGGCGTAGGCCGGCGGCGAAGCGCACTTGTGCATGACGTGCGTCCGGTACATGATGTAGTGCCAGGCTGCTGGTTTCGCATCCAGCGTGTTGTTCGCTTGCGAGGCCCCATCGAGGGCAGCCATCGACGCCTCTCTCAAGTTACACTACAACATGCACTTTTATTTACGACGACGACAGCGTGCAGCGCCCGCCGAGCTTCGCGGCGACGATGCGCTGGGCCTCGGCCTTGTTGATCGACGCGCAGCCGGCGATGCGGAGCGAGGTGAGCGCCTTGCAATGGTGGGCGAGCATGTCGACCGCGTCGGCGGTGCAGCGCCAGCAGCAGCTCAGGTCGATTTTCTCGAGGGTCGCGGCCGCCGCGCGGGCGACGGCGGCGACGCCGTCGTCCGTGACCTCGTGGCAGGACCAGAGGCTGATCTCGCGCAGGGGCACGCCCGCGGGCAACGCGCGGAGGACCCCGTCGGTCACCTTGACGCAGTCGGCGAGGCCGAGGTAGGAGAGTTCCGGCGACCGCGCGAGCAGCTGCCGGAGCCCAACCGGCGAGCCCCCAGGGCAGGACGTCAGCGAGAGGTGCTTCAGGCCCCCCGGCAGCAGCCTGAGCCCGGCGCCGTGGACCGCGACCCGGTAGTCCAGCGCGAGGCGTTCGACGCGGGGGCAGCAGCGCGAGATGGCCGCGAGCGTCGCGTCGCCGATCTTCTTGCTGGTATCGCGCCGATCCTCGTACCACGACAGCGACAACTCCCGGAGCTTCGCCGCACCGCCTTGGATGACCCAGACGAGCACGCATTGGTCGTCCACGTCCTCGCAGAAGCTCGCGTCGAGCGCCTCGAGGTGCTGAAGTTCCCGCAGGACCAACATGGTGCGCACGCCCGCGCGCGTGCCCGGGACGCGCAGGCGCTCGAGCCGCGGGAGGAAAATCACAACATCGGCGAGGTCCTCGTCGGACGGCGCCACGACGTAGCCGAGGTCCAATTCGCGGAGCGACGCGCCCCAGGTCCGAGCGGCCCGTTGGAACACGTCGACGTCGAGGTGGAGGCAGCACTTCATGGAAAGCTCCCGGACGCCCCCGAAGGCGTCGAGGAGCGCGCCCGCGTGGCGCTCCTCCGCGTCGCGGCTGACGCGCAACCTCGGCACGCAGATGCGGTTCGCCTCGCGCCAGCGACGGTTCACCCGACCCGCGCGCGGCCCGGCGCGCGCGTACGCGAAGATAATGTTGAGTACGTCCGTCGGCAGGTCGGGCGCCGGCGGGCCCGCGCGCCGCGGCGTGGGCCGCACGCGCACGACGCGGTCCTCCTCGAGGCGCGGAAGTAGCGCGTCGAGCGGCGTGTGCTTCTCGACGACGACGTCGCCCTGCGGGAGCAGGACCTCCAGCGCGTCCGGCGCCGTCGTCGGGAAGAGCTGGGCCTGCACGAGAACGAGCAGGTCCGCCACGGTCTTGTCCCGGCGCCAGCGCTTCGGCAGCTTGACCTCGGCTTCGAAGGTCTTGGCCTTCGGCCCGTCGGTGACATACCAGACGCGGAGCGCGACCATTACGACGGCGGCAGTAGCGGAGACGACGGCGACGACGGTCTGGCGGGCGACGACCATTAGGACCTGACGCTGGCAGCACGAAAGTCCATCGTGTGTGGCAGCCCGGAGAAACTTTTGGCCTAAAACTTCAACAAGAGGTCTTTGAATGGGTGGCGAGGAGGGGCTGCCTCTCCGCGAAGGCGCCGCTCTCCGCGCGCCGCATGGCGTCGTTCCAGGAGGACGACGACGTGTGCGAGATCGGCACGGTGAACGCGACGAAGCCGAGCAACCCCTACCGGCGCGGCGGGGCGAGCCCGTCGCCGTCCGGGTCCGAGGGCTCGCCGCGGTCGAGCTCGCGGTCGACGAACCCCTACGCGCGATCGGCAAGCTCGCCGAGCTCGACGAGGAGCGAGGAGCTCGCCGCCGTGTCCCAGAGCCAGGCCGTGTCGCCGCACCGCGCGGGCCAGTACCGCAAGGGCGAGACCATCGGCCGGGGCGCCAACGGGACGGTCTACCAGGGCATGTGCCTCGTGACGGGCAAGCTCGTGGCCATCAAGGAGGTGCAGGTGCCGCGCGGCGACTCGTCCTTCGCGAAGCTACGGACGGAGGTCCAATTGATGGCCAAGCTGAGCCACGCGAACATCGTCGAGTATTTGGGAGCAGAGCTCGACGAGGGCGCGGGGCTGCTGTCCATCTACCAGGAGTGGGTGCCCGGCGGGTCCATCGACTCCCTGCTGGCCAAGTTCGGCGGCACCTTCGCCGACTCCATCACGAAGCGCTACGCCGAGGAGACGCTGAAAGGGTTGGCCTACCTCCACGAGCACCGCATCGTCCACCGCGACATCAAAGGGGGCAACGTGCTGGTGACCGAGGGCGGCCGCGCGAAGCTCGCGGACTTCGGGACGTCGATGATGATGGCCGGCGAGACGGCGGGCGACGGCGGCGCGGAGACGCTGTGCGGCACGCCCTACTTCATGGCGCCGGAGGTCATGAAGGGCGACACGTACGGCCGCAAGAGCGACGTCTGGTCCGTCGGCGGTCTGCTGCTCCAGATGGCGGGAGGCGAGCCGCCCTGGAAGTGCCTCAAGTTCCACTCCATCCCCCAGCTGCTCCTCCACGTCGTCTCGGCCCAGGGCCCGCCGCCGCTCGGGAGCTACGCGCTCTCGCCGGACGTCGAGGACCTCATCCTGTCGTGCTTCAAGTACGACCCCGCCGCGCGGCCGACGGCGCTGGCGCTGCTCGACCACGCCTTCTTCCGCGACGGCTCGGCGCCTTGCGCGCCGGCGAAGGCCGACTCGCCGCCGAAGAAGGCGAACCCCTACGCGCGGTCGCCGAGGGACCCCGCGCGCGCGTCGCGCGCGAACCCCTACGCGCGCGCGTCTCACGCCAAGCCGCCGCCGTCGCCCGTCGCGCCGGCGCGGCCCGCGAAGCCCGCCGCGGCGGCCGTGTCCCAGCCGCCGCCGCCGAGCGCCGCCGACGCCGAGGCCGCGGCCTTCGCGACGCTCGTGAGCTCGCTCGGCGATTCCGACGACGACGACGACGACGAGGACAACTACGACGACACCTTCGAGAGCGAGACGCCGTCGGCGAACGACGACGCGACCGTGCCCTACGGCGCGCCGCCGCCGCCGACGCGGGCGGAGACGCCGCCGCCGGAGGAGGAGAGCGACGACGACGAGAATCTCATGACCATCGAGGACGCGCACGTCCAGGGCCTCCTCAGCGCCGCGGACTACCAGCTGCGCCTGAGCCGCATCGCCGTCGACCCGACGTCCGCCTTCTACCGCGCCGCGCCGCCTTAACCTAGCTCGTCGTCGTCGTGCTGGTGCGTGAGCGACAGGTTCCGCTTCGACACGCTCGGCGACTTGCCGATGGAGAGCATGTGGAGGTTCTTGGCGAAGTGGACGTTCCCGTCCCGGTCGCCGACGCAGAGCACGCCGTTCGCCGCCGACGCGCAGAGCACGGGCGCGTCGAACGTCAGCGTGCCCCGCCGCGTCCGCGTCCGGAGGTGGATCACGACGAGCGAGCAGGGGCACGCCGCCGACCCGGCGATGGCGTGGCTCTCGTCCCAGACGCAGAGAGCCACGTGTTCGGCGCGCGCCTCGAGCATGTCCCGGAAGTCCTTGGACGCGTCGTCGTCGTCGAACGCGGCGACCAGCGGCGGCGCCACGGCCGGCAGCGACGCGGGCTCGCCGTCGACCGCGAAGTCCGCGCCGGAGTCGCGCCGCCACACGAGCAGGGTGTCGTCGCAGGAGCAGGAGAGCACCGTGTCCTCGTCGACGGCCGCGAGCGTCGTCGCGTCCGACGCGTGGGCCGGGAGCCGCGCGAGGGGCTTCGGCGGCGCGGCGGCCGGCGGGTCCGCGAGGTCGCCGACGCGCCAGACGGTCAGCCGCGTCTCCGGGTACTTGCCGCCCGCAAAGACGACGTCGCCGGCCACGCGCCGGAGCGACACGGCCTCGGCGTTCGGGATCTCTCGTCGCGGCTCCCAGGCGCCGTCCGTCGCCGTGCCGAAGCTCCGCAGCTTCTTGTCGCCGGCGGACGTGACGATCGCGCGCAGCCGGAGCTCGTGGATCGTGTTCGGCGCGCGGACGTGGTCGAGGCACGCGACGGCGAGCACGGGCGCCGGGTGGTCCAGGACGACGGCGTCCCTCCCGTCGGAGGCCGTGGCGACGACGCGCGCCGTGCAGTTCAAGGCCGCCGTCGCGAAGAAGTCGCCGCTTTCCCACGCGTCGAGACATTTGATCTCGCCCCTGGTCTCGTAGCTTTTGACCTTTTCGCCGTCCGGGGACCAGAGGATCAGCGCGTTGTCCGGGTACGCCGACGCCGTGAGGAAGCCGCCGGCGACGGCGGCGACGGCGACGACGGGCCCCTCGTGGCCGACGTGCGCGAGGCCCGTCTTCGCCGCCAGCGCGTCCGCCGCGTAGACGTCGAGCGCGCCCTTGCCGTTGATGGCGACGACGACGTCCCCCCAGGCCGCCAAAGCCTTGACGGCCCGCCGGTTGTCGCCCTTCCACTCGCCGCCCGAGCCCGTCCACTCGCCCGACGTCGCGCGGCCCGACGCCCAGAGCCGCAGCAGGGGGCCGCCCGCGCCGACGAGGATCGAGTCCTCGCGCCCCGCGACGCAGACGCAGGCCGCGCCCGGCAGGGCGAGCTCGTGCGTGCTCCCCGACCCGTCCAGGGCGTAGACGAGCACCTGCTTGCTCCTCGAGCAGGCCACGGCGAAGCGCCGCGCGCCCGGCACGCACGCGACGTCCTCGAAGGCGTTGGTCCCCTTCTTCCCGAAGCGGCACGACTCGTCGCCGTTCTCCCAGACCGCGGCCTCGCCCTCGCGCGCGCAGCAGGACACGAAGTAGCCGTCGTCGGCGCCGAGGGCGGAGACGGCCTTCCCGTGGCCGTCGGCGTAGTCGTCCATGACCGTGCCGTTCTCCAGGAGCAGCGACACGGACCCGTCGTCCTTGCCCGCGAGCACGACGCCGCCGCCGGTCCCGGGGAGCACGGCGGCGGCGAGGGCCGTGACGCTCGGCGACTTGCCGCCGTCGTCGCCCAGCGCCGTCCAGCTCGGAGCGCCCTCGTCGGCGACGGCGTAGAGCGCGACGCCGCCGCCCGCGGAGCCCGCGGCGAGCCACGCGCCGCGGCGGTCGACGCAGACGCAGAGCACGACCTTGCGCAGGGGGTCGAGCGTCGCGACGAGCGTCGACCAGAGCTCGGCGCCCTTCGCGTCGAAGACCCGCAGCCGCCCGTCGGAGCAGCCGCAGCAGGCGACGCCGGGGCCCGCGGCGACGCACTTCGCGTGGGACCCGGGCGCGGCCGCCGCGCGCGCGAGGAGGGCGCCGCCGGGGCTCGCCAGCGCCAGCACGGAGGCACCCGCCCGGCCGTAGACCTCGGGGCACCGCGCGCGGAGCTGGAAGCCGGCCTCGCCCGCGCCGCCGACGCGCAGCGCGGCCGCGGCGAGCCGCAGCACGCCGACGACGAGGCCGTGGCTCGCCGCCGCGTCGCCCTCCAGCGCGCCGCTCTCCAGCAGGGCCTCGGCGTCGGCGACGACGACGTCGACGGGCGCGTCCCCGAGCAGCCGCTCGACGAACGCGAGGTCGCGGTAGAGCTCCGCGAGGCGGCGCGCGCGCCCCGCGCCGCGGAAGTGGAACGCGCCGTGCCGCGCGAGGTGGCCGCCGTCCCGCGGGTACGCGGAGGACCCGCGCGCCAGGCCGCCGTAGACCGCGTCGAGCAGCGCCGCGTGCGCCTCTTCGGGCGCGCGCTGCTTCCGCAGCCAGTCGAGCTGGAGGTCGTGCAGGCCGTAGGCGCGGCCGTCGAGCCTCCGGAGCAGGGACCGCGCGCACAGCGTCTCCAGCACGTCGTCGGCCGCCGCGCCGAACAAGAGGTCGAGCGCCTCCGCCGGCAGGTCGCAGTCGTCGGGGAACGCCGCGAGCGCGAGGTACTTCTCCCGCGCGGCGCCGGGCAGCGCGGCGACGGCCGCGGCGACGGACGCGTCCGCGAAGCCGTAGCCGCCGTCGCCCGCGGCCTCGAGCGCGTCGGCGACGGCCCCGGCCTCGGCGCCGCTCGCGAGCGCCGCGCCGACCATGCTCAGGCACAGCGGGCTCGCGCGCGCGCCCGCGACGACGCGCGCGCCCGCGGCGCCGTCGACCGCGCCGGCGACGGACCGCAGGAGCGCCAGCCCCTCGCCGGCGTCCATCTTGTCGAGCTCGACGACCGCCGCGGCCGCGTCCGTCGCCAGCGGCCCGAGCGCGTCCTTGGCCTACGAGATGCGTCGGTGACGATGTCCTTTCCGGTCGACGTCTCTCGAAAGTCGTCGCGGCCGCGGGACGCCGTCCTTCGCCGAGCGGCACGTGACCAGGAGCCGGCTCCGCGGGCCGAGGAGCTTGAGCGCCGAGGCCGCGAGCTCCGGCGCCCAGCAGTCGTCGAGGCACACGAGGCACGCGCGCGACGCGCAGTAGCGCTTCACGGCGGCCCGGAGCGCGGCGGCGGTCCCGAGCGCGGCCGCGCGGTAGGGCCCCAGGAGCTTCGCGGCGACGGACCGGAGCACCGCCGCGGGCGCCGCGGACTGGCCGACGGCGACCCAGGCGACGCCGTCGACGAAGTGCCCCGCGAGGTCCGCGACGCAGCTCGCGGCGAGCACGGACTTGCCGTTGCCGCCGCGGCCCGCCACCGCCGCGAGCCGCGCGGTCTCCGAGAGCAGACCGGAGACGACGGCGTCGGCCGCGGCCGCGCGGCGCACGAGGCCGCCGGGCGCCGCGGGCAGCGCGGCGCTCCTCAGCGCGAAGGCGCGGCAGGCCGCGCAGCTCCGGCGGTCGTAGGCGCGGACGTACGCGACGACCTCGCCGACGGACGGCCCCGCGGCGTCCGCGAGCGCCGCGTCGAGCGCGCCGATCTCCACGGCGGCCTCGCGGCTCGGCGCGAGCCGCGCGAGCGCGGACCAGGCGCCGCAGCCGGCGACGAGCGCGAGGTACTCCTCGGCGTCGCGCGCGTCGAGCATGTCCTCGCCGCCGTAGCCCTTGGCGAGCCGCGACGCGCCGGCCTTGCCGAGCTTCGGGCCGAGGCCCGCGATCCGCCACGGCTGCGGCTGCCGCGTGGATGCGCCCGCGCCCATGGTGTACTCACGGCTGCGGCTGCACTGTGTACCACATCGCTGCGTTCCAATAGGCTGCGGCTTCTCCAGCCTGGTGCTCCCGAAGCAGGCCTGAAACCAACGACAACATGCATCGACCTTGAGCCTTGGTGGCAGCTCCGGACGATGAAGCTCCGGCTCCAAGCGCTGCTGCTCGTCGCGGCGTCGGCCCTCGCCTTCGCGCCGGCGCCTCGCGCGCGCCCGCCGACCGCGCGCCGCGCGGGCTTCGGCGCGCCGCCGAAGCACAAGCCGCCGACGGTCGCGAAGAAGTACAGCAAAGCGGCGCTGGAGAAGGCCCACGAGGTCTTCGACGCACTCAAGGCGTCGCCGGGCGGCTACACGGTGGACGTCTACTGCGGCGCGCCCGGCGGCGCCAAGCTCTTCTTCGTCGGCAAGGTCGCCCACGACCTGAAGACGCCGCCCGAGTGCGCGTTGGCCGCGCTCCGGTACCTCCTCGAGCCGCACGCGTGCTTCCTCCAGCCGCTCCTCGTGCCCCACGCCGCGGGCCTCGACTGGGGCGTCGCGCCGGGCAACACGGAGGTCGCCGTGGCCAAGGGCGAGGAGGCCATCACGCTCGTCGAACTCGGGAAGGCGAAGACGAGCCACAAGCCCGGCTTCGCGCCCGAGTGGTACGAGCAGGGCGAGGAGGGGTTCTACGTGCGGAGGGAGTGATGAGGCTCCTAAATCCCGGCTTGTCTATATTCGCTGCCGCTCGCGGCGACCGTCCGCGGCCGCGCGCAGTCGAGCGCTCAGTCGTCGCGGCTCGTGCGCCAGTAGGAGATGATGTGCCAAAAGACCTCGTTGGGCAGACGATCCTTCGACGGCGCGCCAAACATGCGCTGGAGGACGAACGTTTCCGCGGAGATCGTTCGAAGCTTCGCGGATGACGGTGACGGAGGCGCCGCGCGGCCGCGATCACAGAGCGAGCGCAGGCGGACGAGCTCGACGCGCGGGGCGCGAAGGTATTTCTCGTAGTTCTTGTAGCTTTCTCCGGGTGCCTTCATGTCACGCAGGAAATCTGCGGCCTCGCTGTTATTGTAGCGTCGAGCAGCTGCTTCGGCATCCTCGCCGTCGTAGTTCTTCAAGGTTATGTCGGCACCGCAACGCCACAGGAAGCGCACGAGTGCGCCATCTGACCGGTTGGCGACCGGGTGGGTGGCAAACATGAGCGGCGTAGATCCACTGATCATAAAAACCGCGTCGATGTCGGCGCCGTCGTCGAGAAGCGCGGCCGCCTCTCCCGGATGGCGGACAAAGTGAAGAAACGTCGAGTCTTCCCCGTCCCCCTCGAAGCAGAAAGCACCGTCGGCGCCGTAATGAATCAACAGACGGACTAGCTCGCCTCGGTCCCCGACATCCTCTACTCCGGGATAACCAGCGCCAACAAGGACTAATTGGAGCAGCTCAGTTATTGAGGTCGCGACTTCGACATGATCTGGGTCACGATACTTTTGCAGAAAGGTCCGCAGCTCTGAGAGGTGTCCATGTATCGCGAGCGCGTGACATGCGTTTAGACCATCCCAACTTTTAAATCGCAGCATCATGGTCTGATTTTTATTTTGCCACACTTTTTGCGATCGGCGCGAGGTGCTCACGGCGACGGAGGCGGCCGCGCGACGGTATGAACACCGCCTTCGCCCTGTGGTCAATCGCAACGCTCACAGTCGTTGTCGCCTCGACACAGCACAAAAGGCAGAGCATCGCCCACTGCGACTTTCGAAGAGAAATCCTCGACGACGCTCTCATCGGCGCCAAGGAGGTCGTCGCCTCGCTGCCGCCGTTTCACGTACAGACGCCACACATCGCGGCCGTCGTCGACACGGTCGTCGGCCATTCTTTCCGCTTCCGCGGGCACCACGCGTGCCGCGAAAACGAGCTCGTTCTGGTTTTCGACGACGGCCACATCCGCGGCGGCTGCGACACCTTTCTCAAGACGTGCGACACCGCGCGCCTGTCCTGCGCGCGCGAACTCGGCGACGGCCGCGGGTTCGCCGCTCGGTCGAGGGCGTCGATCACGCCGCCGGGACGGAACGCGTCGAGGACGGAGACTTACGGACTCGCCGCGAACCCCTACCTCCCCTACCGGCTCAACGCGACGAGCGGCCTCGCGAACGACGGCGAAAAGATCGTCGCCGTCGCGGGCGGCCGCGTCGTGGCGTACGACTCCCGCGGCGCCCTCTTCGGCCGGGGCGCGCCGCCGACGGTCTTGCGAGATATCGCGAGCTTCGACTGCGTCGACGGCCGCTTCGAGGAACAGGCCGCCCCGGGGGCGTTTCGGAGGCGCGCCTGCGACCCGCGGACGCTCGACTACAGCGTCGCTTCCGTGAAGAACCGCACGCGGCTCTTCGCAAGGGCCTTCGCGACGAACTCGGAGATTTCGGGCCTCCAGAGTGCGGACGTGGCCGACGACGCATTCGAGGTCGCGACGTTCCTCGGGGAGACGAAGAACGTCACCGCCGCCGCGGTCTCCTCGAACCCGGCGGACGCCGAGACCTTCGTCGCGGTGCTGGCGACGACCGAACGCGTCGGCCCCGCGCGCGCGCTCCGGGGCGCCGTGGCCCTCGCCGTCTCCTGCGACGGCGTCCATTTTTCCGCGCCGCACGAGATCGCGACGGCGCAGACCGACGAGCGCGGCGAGCGCGGCGACGCGCCCGTCAAGGGCCTCCCGCGGCGCCGGGCGCCGCGCGAAAACCGGGGCGTGGACCCGACGCCGCGGGAGGCCTACCTCTTCCTCCGCCACGACCCGCCGCGGGGCTGCGCGCGGTTCCAGGTTGGCAACGGGACGGCGGAAACGGCGCGCGGCCGCGTGGTCCGCTACGCGCTCCGCCTGCCGGCCCTCGCGGCGCTGACGCGGCGCCACAAGGAGGAGCTCCACAGGCACCACCATTGTGACGCTCCGCGGCGCTGACAAGGAGGAGCTCCACAGACACCATCGGTGCTCGCGAGCTGGAGAAAGGTACGACATCTTATTAATATTTCGAACGTATGAACAAAAGACCGCGAGGCATTCATCACTCGCGGTAGAGCAGGAGCTTGCGCCAGGGCCCCGTGCCGCCGAACTGGAGGGCTTCACCGGCAAACCAGCCGCCCGTCGTGATGGTCCGGTCCAGGTTCCAGTGGAGCCGGTCGTCGCGGAACGTCGACGGCCCGCGGAACTCGAAGCCGAAGGCGTCGGGCCGGCGGTAGAAGGCGACGCCGGCGCCCGGCGCCGGCGCTTCGGCGGGGTCGAGCACGGCGGCGCGCGGGCCCCAGGCGCCGAGCGTGACCTGGCGGCCGGCGTAGAAGTCGTCGCCCTGCGTCGCGGCGACGAAGACCGCGCGCGCGGCCGCCGGCACGCGGTCCAGGTGCGCGTCGGACGTCGCGTGGTCGCAGCACTCGTCGTAGACGTGCCGCCAGCCCAGGCGCTCCAACGCCTCGACGCCGCG